GCAGCTAACACTACGCAGTCCACTAGCTTTTTAGCACTTTTTGGCCTTCTCTTGGTACCCACATGAAAAAAAAGGCTTGATGTTTAAACATTTAAGTCAAATGACTTAGGCAGGTTCTCAGATCAATTCCTAATTTAAGGCAATAACAAGTTACGGAATGAATTAGATTTATCTCTCCCTTGCAACTCTGTAACAATAGAAGAACTGATTAAAGATGTTATTCTGCAAATGCCCATTTCATCTCAAACACAATTTATTCAATAGGGCTGCGAGTCTAGCAATTTTCTAGGAAAAAAAAAATCTATTCTCTTTAAAACTTGGAAATTTTATTCAAATTGTACTTCTTGCTAGAAAAAAAAAACCCTTCAATGCATATTTTAGTATGTCAAGATTTACTTTTAATAATTAAGTAATACCTTGCATAAGGTACTTGAAAAGTAGTGATATAATTGACCTACTGAATAAATGGTTAATTATGTAAATCACTTGGTTTGTTAAAAAGTTAACCAGCGGAGCATAAAAATGGGAATAATCCTAAATAATCAGATGTCCGTCATAAGCATGAAATATGGCATTATGCCTGCAACCCTGCGAGATTAGGTACAAATGAAATAGTCAAAAGCCCAGCTTTTCCCTCACCTGCCTGGGATTTATACTTTGAACAGCACAAAGTACTTGTGAACTCATAAATCCTTAAAAAATCTATTATCTCTACTATCTCTCTTTTACTCTGATTTCAAAAAAGTCACTAATAAAACAGTAGAAACATCCTTCTCATTTTGTGTCCTGCCAATGTTAAAGAAGCCTTATGAGTCAGTCTGAAATTGCATTCATTAGCAGATAAGGAACCATGACAGACAGTCATTTATACCTTCTCTAGGGTCTCCAGAGTCTGCGGATTAATTTTCCTAATGAAGTTAGTCTCACTGGTAGCATAAAAATCATCCCCCGTTTTCATAATGTTGATCAGGCAGTTGTCTGTGAACTCAGGAATGGTGTGAGATAAGTAACAGAAAGCCCTGTACAAAGGCAAATTTCATATTGGTTCATTAGTCCTTGGGAGAAGCAGAAGTTTTATTAACTTGTACCCTGTGCAAAGCCGGAGTCACTGTGGGCAGAGCGGGCTGATCGTGGTGGCACAGTAAGAGCTGGGTTCGTTAATGCCCCAGGGGCTCTATTCTGGTCCCTCATACTCTTCCCTGTGCAAGGGCTGGGATGGAGGTGATGGACTTGATCGCCCTTAGCTTGAGCTAGGATTGAGGACTGCATTTGACTGCTTTTCCATGTATAAATAAGGGCCACATCCAGTTCTGCTGACAGCTGTGAGGTATTTAAAGAGGATGAGTTAATTACACACTCATCTTTTCATCTTTTTCTTCTTTTCTTGATGCTTCTTTCTTTCAAAAGTTTCATATTTATAAAATTTTGTGAAACACTTAAATAGGAAAATATTTACATTTCCAAAATGACAAAAAATACTTGCAGTAGTGAATAAAAATATTGATAAAATGAAATAAAAATATTTGTCTTAGAACAACCTATAGGATGCTTGGTGCTGTTTGAGGTTCAGAGAGTTATCTCCTATCTTATCAATATTTGGCAATTCAAAGTTTATGATATAGATTTAATACTTGGGAATATGTGCAAAGAGCAAGTAGAAAGACATCTGTGTTGGAGAGAGAAGTAGATAGCAGAATCTTGTTGGAAGAAGTATTGCTTACTTGGCAAATATGTTTTTGCATGGATCTGGATAAGCCATAGTTCCAAATTCAGACACCACAATTCTGTTTGCTTCTACATTGCAATTGTATGCATCACTTCGGAGATACTTACTCCTGTAGTAAACTTCACCTGACAAAGACCAAAGAGGTTCAGTCATTTTTCACTCTGAGATCGTTAGCACACTTGCCTCTGTGCCCCTGCATCCCTGTTTTGTAAGGCCACTTCAGCTCTGGAAGCTGAACCGGATTTGTGGCAGCTGAAAAGCAAATACTTCAGATTGTCCAGCTTCCCTGATTCCCAACAAATTTTAACACTCCTGTGGAACTAGTGAAACAAAAGGAATCTTCCTGTAAACCAAAACAATCTATGCTAAAATTTTTAATTAGACATCTATGTGCAGGCAATGGTAAATATTGGATATTAGCAAAATTTAGTCTGTTGTTTATAAGAGTAACAATTGTTTGAAGGCTAGTCTGTGTTAACGCACCTACTGGACTTCTGCATTTGAAGGGGCTGAGCTCTTTTGGATTTAGGGAAGTACTGACAGTTTAGGAAACAAAATGGCTGGTCATTTCTTTATAGTTTTTTTTTTTTTTTTTAATGACATTGAGCTGGTTAGGCAAGTACTTCCTGCAGCTTCATTAAATGACTCCTACTGAAGAAATGGAGACTAAAAGATACACACTAGTAATGGAGGATGGCAGGGGTAAAACACAGTTCTGTATACACAGTGTATATACCGGTATATACTTTTTGCAAGGAGAATCACAATGTAAAACATCCTGCCTCACACTGTAAAAGAGTTGCAAGAAATTTACAGAAAATCATGTTGTTTTAGATAGAGGAGATGTCTATTTTCACTTCATGAGTGTGTCAAGTAGGAGGACTGCTTGTAAGGGTGTTATGAATACATAAGTGAGGTTTGGTTTGTGAGTGACACAGTGGCCTGGTTTCTCTCCTGGCAGTTGTAATAGATACATCCAAATCCCAAAAGAGGAATGCTAGTGTTCCCTGAAACCAGGTTGTTCATCCACGCAGAAGAACCTCTGTTTATTATGGTTCTTTCGGCTGATGTAGTTTGAAACAACAGAGGTTTTCCTGCACAGGGTGCAAGGCAAAGGCTGCCTCACTGTGACTGCTCAGCGCTGTTGAAGGCTATTCTGCAATTCAGACAGTACTGAACTTTGGCACTCCAAGGAAAAGGAAAACATAATGTATCTTGGATAACAGCACTGGAGAGCTGCTCCCCTTGCTAGTGAGAGCACTGTGAGAGTGGATATTTAGAGACACTTTCCTCAAAGCCTGTTACCCTCGCACGCACTTGACTGTGCAGATGAGAGGCAGGAATTAGCTCTTAGACACAGTGCACTGCTGGAGCAGCAATTCCTGCCCCCATTTAGCATAGACAGTGAGCTGTGGTCTTGCTTGTAATGCTTGCTTCCATGAGTCAAAGCTGATCTTAAAACAAGGAAATGTTTCAGAAGGAATTCCTCTCGCATCACAGTCTGCCCCCCTGAACCATCATGGATAGCACTTCCTTTACCATCTCCTTTCATCACAGATGAGGAAAGCTGTAGTTGGAAGACAGGGGTATGTCCAAGAGTTTCTGATATCCAGTAGCTGCTCTTCTTTAATGGGCACTTGGAGTGATTGGGTATCTAAAGCAAATTAGGGCAGCTTCAGAATCTGGTGACATAGGAAGCTAGTACATTTATATCCCCTTTTGGACATTCCTCTCCTGAGATGTGCACAGTCCTTTCCTCTCAGAAAGAAGCTACAGGAAAATGCATGCCTGTCTGGACTGGCAATTGTGGCAGACTAATCAGCCAAATAGAGCTTGCATGTCCTATTTTTTTTTTACCTGGAAACATTTTAATGACAATAAAATCAGAATTAGCAACATAATACACCAAGACTTGGATTATTAAAGTTTTTTAAGCGTGATGTGCAACCACTTACCATTCTTAAATGTTACGTGGATTATTAAAGTTTTTTTAAGTGTGCAACCACTTACCATTCTTAAATGTAAAGCTATGCAGCAGAGCCAAGCCATCAAACCAGTGGTTATACTTAGTGTCCCCTATTGTGTGCATCCCTGGGCCATTTCGGAGAAGTATCCCTTGCAGCCAGGTAGGCCACTCACCTGTAAACAACAGGACATATCAGCACACGCTCATCTAGGCCAGGAGCATGCTGTAGGACAATCTTCCAAAGGGCACAGACTTCACATAGGCAGACACACTATGGGTGTAAGTCAAGATTTTTAAGAGCATACTGGACTTTTGGCTAACTAAAATAAGACCCGCTCAAAAACATAGCATTAGTAATATTCTGCACCAAAAACATGGAATTTCTGGAATGTAATTTGCCAAATATCAAGAAGTAAATAGAGCTGGACCTTTCTTTCTTGGATTCAGATTTTAAAGTAATTAATTTAAGCCCTTTTACTCATACCAGGAAAAGCTGTGGCTTACCAGAAATGAATATATTTTATATATGATATGACTTGCATTGGCCTTCAATATATCAATTCAAACTTCAGACTAAATAAATTCCAGGAACAATTTCATTAATTAAATTGCACAGCATAATGTAGTGTCACTGTGGCAGTGCTTTTGTGACACTAATCTTATTGCTGGTATTTCAAACAGAAACAAAGGTTATTATGCTGAAAACATCTAAGTTCTGTCAAGGTTTGAATACAAAATGTTCCCCATCAAATTGCTTCAAGGAATAAATGAAGCTACCATTTGACACACACTATAACAAAATTAAAGGAAC